GAAGCCAATTAACAGTTAAAGTAGACGTTAAAGAACATGAAAAACCTTAAAATACTGAATCCTGCGTCTAAATATAGAGCAGGAGGAAAAGAAAGAAGAAATGAAAAAAGGAAAGAGAAGCGACCAGAGATGGAACCTGAAAGAGAAGAGGAGGAGGTGGACTTCCTGTTATCACTTCCTGCTGCTTCAGACACAAACATTTACACTCTGTGGGATTTCAGGTTTAAAGCAGCTTTAAAGGAGAAGAAACACAGATTTAATCTGAGTCCTAAAAACTGGTGTGTTTGTTGCCTATTTAGCAGCGTTTTGGTCCATTTACCAACATTCTGAGGACCAACGGGGTTAGGATGGAGGTCAGGGTTAGGATGGAGGTCAGGGTTAGGATGGAGGTCAGGGTTAGGATGGAGGTCAGGGTTAGGATGGAGGTCAGGGTTAGGGTGGAGGTCAGGGTTAGGGTGGAGGTCAGGGTTAGGATGGAGGTCAGGGTTAGCATTCATTCTGTAACTAAAATGAATGGAAGTCAATGGAAAGTCTGGATAGAAAAACAAAGCGCGTGGCGTTTGACAGAGAACGGCCATTTTTCATGGCTGCTATTCTAAAGATGTTGGAGTTGCTTTCATTTGACATGTTTGGTTGAGTTTGGTTCTGGACACTGAGCTTAGTTTGATGAAAAGAGCCGTAGAGATAAGAGTCAGGACTGTTGGACCCAGCATGACCACAGTCCTCAGGTCTGTCCATCAGAGACCTTTATTACCGCCGATGACACAGTTCTCACCATGCTCACCTCAGCATGGTGGATGATGTGGCTTTCCGTTCCACTGACACCATTAGTGCGTTCCGACCCCCAAACCCCCAGCAGGCAGTTCAGCAGATGTTAGTCTCAGTTAGTGGGTCACAGGGACGCAACGTGAAGACGGTCCAATAAAACGAAACATAAATCAGTTTAGAACATTGAGGTTTATTTTTAATGAAAGATGTTTTATTCTTCTGTTCATTAACTTTCTGAAATAAAACCAAAAATGCTTTTAGCAAGAATAATCTGCTGCAGAGATGTTTTATAGCTCCAATTCACATCATGTCATCTCAGGTCACTTTATAGATCCAG